GCACATTTCTGGTATAGTCGGGACGTAGAAATTGCACTATTCTGACATCTATGTATATGCATCTTTGTATAGATTTAAATGACTAATTTAAGTGTGTTCCTAATATAAAACAAAGCAAAATGACAAAATGTCTAATATTTTACTTGTCTTGTGTGTCATTTCCTGGTAGAATTTAATGTAAGATACTGAACACATGAAATATTTTAGTAGCAGCAAATTCAACTAGGTGGCGATCCACTGCCTGTACTTGAATTAAATCCTTTCGTCAACTAAGTTGCAGATGTTGGTAGGCAAATAATCCTTCATATTCAATACACTTGTAAATCTTAAAGGCAATTTGTGGTTGGGTTTTATAGTTAATTGTATTGCATATCTTGTAATATAGTAAATTTTCGGTTTTCAATCGAAACCTTATAGATACGTCGTTGAAGGTTTTAGGCTATGTGTATAACGATATAACTTGTAGGGGTTAAACAATGATAACAAATGTTAAACAAACAAAATGGGCTTTGCTATTAGCCAGTGAATATCATTTTACATGTAACAATCAGCTCTAAAATATAAGCATATCGATGAAGAGTTAGATCAGAATATGGCTTTCTGAAATTGAAAACCAGCTTAGTATTTATTGAATATTTATGTCAGAAAGACGAATTGAACACCGTAGAAAGGTTCTCATATAGAGAGGACAATGGCGACATAAAAGGCTAATTAAATTATACTTCATTTACTTTCTGTAGCGATGTGCCCCTTCCAATGTCTTGGATGTGCACTGGCAAAATCGTAGGTAGGGAGAAAAAGCTCATTATACTCTCGACTCTTGTTCATTAAACATACTTTTTCATACAGTACCTGCCAAAAGTTTTGTTCAATCATAAATAGTAGTGCGAGTCGAAAACAAGCGTTAAAGCCTTTAATATGTCTTCAAATATAAATAAACATCTCGTTGATATTTTCAGTAATAAATGGTGCCAATAACAGCCAATTTTTCCGTGCAGTACTGTATGGATTATACGTTCCTCACCGGTTAAGAGTTTGGCTGAGAGTTGTCTCTTTCCTTTTCTGGCCTAGTGCTGTTCTTTTCTACCATGCGCCGGTCAAACTTAAGGTTACATCGCTACAAAAAGTAAACGAAGTATACCTAGATCCTCGCATGAGTTAATTTTTACAATTGCTATTTATTTCAACTCCCATAGAAATAATTAATTTTTCTGAAAATTATGGAATTCTACGATTCTACTTCGTATTAGTGTTTTTTTCTGATATCCTTTCACTTTTTATTTCCGTTGATATGCAAGTGGAACGTGGCTGAAAGATATTTCATTGGCACACATTTGCTGTGATTAATTGAAAAGCACGTTTCCATGGCCTTCTTTTGTACTCTGATGGTGCTTTTTACATGGAGGTTTTTATTTTGAACCCGTGGATGTGCCGGCTGCGGAAGCGTAAAGCTGATTAATGATTCATATGCAAAGTAGATATAAGTTCAGGAATTTTCATCAACGTTTCAGAGATTTACGAGTGTGAGACAGTTTATTCGATTAGCAGTCGATAAGTCGTTAGCGGGTATTAATAATTTTTAGGGTGACACGTGGTAAAGCGTTTTATATTTTTTTGAGTGACGGACGTGAGATTTTTAATGACCAAAAAAGATAATGAGTTATCAAGAGACAAAAAATTATAGGATGCTGTTTCTTTAAGAGGATGTTCAGTCATTCCACGAAGAAGTGGAGAGCTTTCACTGAAACCATGGTACACCAAGGGAAGGAAGTAGTGCTAAACCATTTGTAACATTTAAGCTACCCCTAGGAACATTTTCGTCCCCTCTATCTGTCCATAATCGCCACAAACTGGAAACTTGATGGCAAAATATAAAGTATAAACCTTCCCTTATTTCCCGCAATTTATACTAAATATATCTAAGTAAATGAAATAAAATGACTGGTGTTATTGATGACAACAAAATAATTGAATTATAATGCCCCATCAACCAAAGAATTTAAAAAATCAAAATGTAGGATTTAGGCTTTTCTTCGATGTGCTCTGTTTTTTTCAAATGCTTTGAAGTTTCGGTTTCTTCAGTGCTGCTTTCAGAATTAGTTTATGTCGTTCATGAACATTTCAAAACCAAGAAAATCCTAATACCATATGTTATACTATTCTGCTTGCTCGTTGGTTGACTATTACTACCATGTTCTGTTAGATTGGCCCGTTTATTCATAATTGAAAGTGATTTGGTTATTTGAGAGAATTTTCGTAATTGTTTAATATTGGCGTATTACGAATTTGGAATGTTCTAGTTTTATGGAAATGTGAAGATTAGCTCTCAGCATAGGAGATAATGAAAGTGCGTGTCCAACCAGTCTTAGGACTGACGAACTTATGATGATGATTAAGGTACCTGAGTACAGTGAAAATGCCTTACAAAAGTATATTTTTTTCCTTTACAATGCGTGATTTTAGTATGAGGAAATGCGTGCTAATGTAATGCCTCTAAAGCAACTCGAAAAAAGCACTCAGTAAACAGAAGCACTTGGGTTAAGAATCACAATGAATTTAAAAGGAAATAAAATTGGTTTGGTAAAGCTAAAAGTGTATAAAAGAGCATTTGCAGACACAACAAAGGTATTCGCAAATTGGTGTTTTAAACATCAATCAACAATTGAGTGGAAAAAGAAAAGAGTAAAGGAAATGTTCCGTTATTTGCTGAAATATATTTATTTTCTTATATTTCATCAACTTTTTCTGTGACATTTGTTGAGGCAATGTTTTTCTAAAAATCGAAGATTGGATTCATTGTATTTACTGTCTTAAATGGATGCATGAAAACTATACTCCGTTAGAAAATATTTGTGATACATGTGGAAAAAAGGCAAAAGAAAAGACTGCAGACAGGGAAAATCAAGGCAGGGGTAAAGGAAAAGGAAAAAGGACGAAGAAATAATATGGCCATCTTATACGCTTTGCTATGGCCATCTGACACGGATGGGTCGGATAAGATGACCACTTACTTATTTTTTTTTTAATTTAATTACTAAAATGTCAATTGATAAATCGTCACCAAAGTCTGTAAAACCAAAGTTGATTAATAAAAGATTAATAATAAAGAACAGATTTTCATTTCTTTTTGTAATAATTATATAAAATTCTACCTTAAAGAAAATACGGCCATATCACCCTGAATTACCCTATATTACTGTACTCTTTCATTTTTATTTGCTGTATACTTATAGAGGCAAATGGGTAACTTTAGAGTAGTGGATTTCTGATATAAAGTTTTCAAGGAGATAGATAGATAGATTATGTTTTATACACATCTATAAAAGTGCATTAACTAATTGTATTACAACATATGAATTTTACAAACTAAATGTTCTTATTCTTCTCGCTTTTCTGCTATTTTTCTTCTCCATAATATTTCTCTCATTTTTTTCAGACGATTTTTTATTTTCATTGGAATTTCCCATTTTTTATAGCATTTCCTGTTATTCCACATCTCTCTTCTTTCCCCTTTTACATATTTCCCTTGTGATTTTCTTTTCTTCGGTTTGAATATTCGATATATTATTTTAGTAACATATTGTCTTTTTAATTTAACACTTATTCTTCGTACTTTAAAGCTCTTTTTGTTTAAAAATAAAAGGTGATCTACATGAAGTCAGTTTTTGTCGATTTAAAAGACAGTGTTTTTCAATTAAAAATTAGATTAACTAGGTACCTACTATAGACTCCACTAAATCAATATTAATTGTGAGATATTTACTGAAAGTTAATAAGTAAGTATAACAATTAATTTATTACTACTAGAAAAGTATGTTAGGAAAAGTCCCTAAATGATCCTTGCGGCATTTTAAATTAAGATTAAGTTTACTTCTAAATTAATAGTTGTTTCCGTTTCCGGTTAGATGAAGGAGATGCTCCAATCACAAAAACGTCTTTATACATAATTTATCGTCCAGTTAAGCAGCGCTGTGAAAAATTTCCTTGACGGTCCAGTGTTTCCTCTGTATGTGAGAAAATGTGTAGTTTTATAGCTGTGTGGATACAGGAGAAGGGGAAAGACAAACAATGAATTACACAAATATTTCTCTGCCATCTTCATGGCACTTTTATAACCCAGTGGACTTGTAGAAACAGCCGACTTCAACTTAATAATGCGTTACTTTTTCCACAGCCAGCTTGGAATGCTCGTAAACACATGCCGCTTAGAAGAGCAAAAAAATTGAAAAGAACGAGTACGAACATCTGGTCCCCTATATATCATCCCGTTCATGGAAAATGATACATTGTCTAATGTCGAACGAAGATGTCATCTTCGACGTGCCAAAGTTTTATAATGGCAATAGAAACGGCAGTTTTTAAACTCTGTTTTTTGTCAATAATTTGCTGTAAGCTTTTCTGTTCTATGGAAGTGGAAAAATTCGTTCTAGGTATGCCGCTTATTAAAAAAGTTTTCCCGACAAACTGTCTGGTACTTTGCGTCACATGTTAAAAGGATCAAACAACAAATACTGAATTGAAACATCAGCAGGTTAAATGTCTAATGTTTTTAAAGAGTTGTGAATACTGACTTGAAATATTATCACCTGTTGTATTCATTCGTATCAAAAATTTCCTACTTATCAATACTATCTAATTGTTTATCATACAAAGTCATTTGTTTTTAAAAATTAAACTTCAATAGGATGTACTTGTTATATAGTTATTTATTAGATTTTTTAAATTGCATTTTAGTGTATTGTTGGTGGTAAAACTGTATTTTAGATTATTACCTACTAGTAGATAAAACTGCAGTAATTGAACCAATAAATATATAATCTCAGTTAATACGACGATGTGTGATATTAATCGCTTGTTTCGAAATGGAATTTTCTCGCTGTCTCTTTGATTTGGGGAACATGAGGAATGTGAATGGGAACATAAGGGATTTCCGTCTGATGCAGGGTGTCAAGCGGAATAGAGTTATTCGAATATCATCGTGGTCGTATTCGGGAACTTACCTAGGATTCCTAATCGGTAATTAATTGTGACTACGACGACGCTTCCATAGCTGGCTAGGACGCTCCCGTCATATGGATTGCCAGAATTCCATTCATAACTTTCTCCGTGGATGAACACGACCACCGGATACTTGAGAGCCGAACTGCTGCCTGCTTCACGCGTTCCTGCTGAATGAAAAGAAAAACCGATTGAATGGGATTTTTCAACTGCAAAATGCAATTAGTCAGAGAAAAGATATAAATTGCTTTATATAGCATGATCTCTATTTTAAGACACGTAGAGTTTTTGAGATTTTTTTAATTATAAGAGTGACAGACAGTTGTTCTACGTTAAATTGCGTTAATTTTTTTCGTTTCTAAGTATCGCACTTATTTGATTTTGCTCACATTCTGATTAGTTTTTCACGTTTTTTTGTTGTTTCCTTTTCCAATTCAAACCTAATGGACTTTAGAAAGTGGAAGGAAATTACGAAGTATCTTACGCATTAACGTTTCAAGAAGAATTCTAAGACGTTTATTTACGTTTATATTAGATTCAAAGCAGAAAATAGAGATTTAAAAGGAAATTAGAACGTTTAAGGGTTTCATATTATCAGCATTTAAGCGAATTAAAAACCACAAAATTCTGATGGAAAATCAAATCTGTTCTTAGATCCGTATCTCTTATTTTGAGGCATAATTTAAATCGATGAAAATTAAACAGAAAAATCCGAGATGTAGGAGATAGTTATACGTAACAATTCAATTTTATATTTTGTCGTTATATAATAGGCTTAATTGTTTTAGAAAATGTTCAACATTTAAACGCTGTAACAAGAATCTAAATGTCTTTAAATCAGATCATTGCAAACCACCGGAAACCAGAGCGTAAATACAGATTTGGGATACTTGTCAATACTCGGGTTATTCTTCATTGATTGTTTAATAACACCTACCCTTCTCTAATTGCTTTGGTACTTATGGGAATCAGCAGTTGTACAGATGACGTCCACTATTATATCTTGTTAAGTTTCTAGTGTTGTTTTAGGTCCTCGGCCTTAATTATTGGCAAGTTAAAGTTATTGTAAATCTTAGATTTACTTAATTGTTTGAAAAGATATTACATACATTATATTACAATAGATTTATAAAGTGGTTGTAAAATGTAGGAGGTAGCAAGTAATTAATGGTTTTTGCTATATCGATTTATACTCGATTGAAAATAGCTGCCGGTGCCTACGCGTGTATGGCAATCGTGTCGCAATTCGTTCCATTATTCTACATGCCGTTTATATACGTATGACGGCGAACTGTTGGCTGAAAATTTCAAAACGAATGACAACGATTTCGTTTCCCTTTGTTTACGAGCAGAGTTCGCTCCCGTTATTCAGACGCGTTACAATTCCAGAGATTAAATCATCTGCCGTTGCCGCATAATCTGGAAACTAATAAAGATATCACCAAATCCAGTAAAGCTGCGGCTGCGGCGCGCAGTCGATGGTTGTTGTTTGTAACAATGTTATTTACCGGCCAGGGACAGGGGCTGAATTTCAGCTGTTTAGACATTCCTTTGCTTGTGTTTAATTAAAATGATTCGCCACGCAGCACGTAATGTGATTGTGGTCGTGAACAGTGAAACATTATACCCGTAAATTGTCCCATTAACCAGGATGGATGTCATCTTCCTTCCCCTAGTCTACCCTCTCACCTGAACCTTTCACCTTGCTAAATATAACTACCATAGTATATGAATTCTCTCGAAATGCCCTAATAACAGCTGTTTACGTAAATAGAATTCTTAATAAGATGTGCATTGTTGTGGGGAATACGTTTGGGAACTTGCCCCACCAGGTAGGCCGCAAGGCACTACCGACTAGTACAGGGGTGGTTAACCCGCGGCCCGTATTAATTAATTTTTGGCCCCCCAAGATTCACCAAATCACCATAGTTTCACAAAAAATATTTATCTTATAATAGTCGCTGATTTTCGGTGTCTAGGTAGTCAGATAATTTAGAATGGAAGGAATAATAGAGATATAAAAGAAATGATAGCGCAGAGTCGAGTTAGAAGCGTTTGAAATGTGTGGTGATATCGTGGATAAAGAATGTTAGAAATGAGGAGATACTACAAAAAGTAGGAAAACAGAGGATACTATGGTGAGATAGGGTGGTGGGACACCTTCTAAGGCATGAGAGGATTATCAGAGACATATTGCAAGCATAAATAGAAGTTAAGGGAGCAGAGGTAGACCTAGATTAGATTACAGTTCACAAATAGTTATGGTTGAATCTTCGAAATGTTAAACTTTTGTTGTAGACAGATTAAATTGTGCATCAATTTTTACTACACCCTTCTCATTTTAAAAGTTGTTCACTTATGATTATCATAATGGCGTATCGTGAATTTCTGCAACCCGGGGCGAAGTCTAAATGTACTTTTTTTTCAGTATGGTATAAGATCTTTTATTTAATTGCAGTGGGAAGGTGTACACAAAATGAACCGTTATTAGGGTTTGACCATTCGACTTTTACCTTTTGCGATATTGGGCATGAAAAAGTGCCATTTTTGTATTAAGATGTTTGGTACAATTGATTAAAAATTGGTACAAATACCAAGAAATTGGGATATGTAGCATTACTGCGAGCTGGACCTGATTCTATCTAATACCAATAAAAAAAATTTTGCTGCTCCTACATTTGTGCGGCCCGGGGCCCATGGCCCCTTTTTCTCCCCCATGCTACGCCACTAACAAAACTCTAAGTTACTTTTTCATTAGGTAGTCATAGTTAATCTAAAAAGATAGTGAGGTATCTATTTTACCCATTAAAGATTTTTTTACAAAAATTACATTATTGACGACCTTCCATAGAGTTCGTAAAGAAAATTCAAAATTTTCTACTTGGGCGTATGTCTGAGAACGGTGGGTATTGTTTGTAAGAGAGACTTTGAGGAGCCGTCGTGAATATAATGGTTGTTATTCGTTCATGGTCTTTTATTTGCACTGCCGGTGAACGTTATTGTGTATGAAAACGAGTGGAAAGGGCAAAGAAAGTACACGGCGTCATTATCAGGATGGAATAACGGAAAAGAAAAATCAAATTCAACTTGTTCTCCACTAGAGCGTAATACTGCTCTAATGGTGAGTGGTTTTTATAAATGGAGCAAGGAACATATTAAACTCAGCATTTATTATAAACAGTAACAGTTACACCTACAAACTTATGAGGATTAGCGTAAATTGTATTTTAATCGATTAGAATTTTCCTAGATTCTTATATAATTTTGAAAGCTCGGTGATAGAATTTTATTGTTTCATAGTATTGTAATAACCTAATCAATTTTATTTATCTCATAATAAGGAAAACATAGAATTGTATCCAAATTGACGTCATCATAAAGTTAGTACCTACAAGATGATTATAATCAGGATATTGATGAGGAATTTGAAAATCTTTTGTAGATGACCATCGTGTATGTGCGACAATGGTACTCTTTACCTACTTATGCTTCTACCTATTGGTTAGTTTTATCCAATTATTTGACTTTCATTTCGTTTTGATTTTCTTTGTTTCGCATTACTGTGAAAGCGTGATATCAATTACCCGTGAAAAGAAGAATATATCTTTCCTTTGCATACTAATTAATTGTTATTAATAAATTATGCTGATGACAATTAGGCGCACAGTTTTCAATTAAAGGTAAATTATCTATGTAGTCAACAATCTGACCATATTCGTCCTCTTTTCCTATAATTCTATCGATAGTTTTGGATAAAAGTTTACTGTATAAAATATACACGTGCAGGATAGTTGTTTATCTATACATGTATCTCTGTTCTAATATCCAAGGAGCTTTTATCAAGAAAACGTTCAAGATTGCTATAATCTGTTTCTTCGCTTGATCAAAAGTTCGTTACGTAAACAGTCTATCTATTTGTAGTTTATTTAGAGAGCGGGGAGATTCGATATAATAATAATATTAGATGATCATTGCAAGATTTAGGTACTAAAATGCTAATGTTATTTTTTTTTATGAATTTATCCATTCTAGAATGAAAGCAGTTGCAAATTTTCACATACGCACATGTTTGATTATGCGCACATATAAATATTGAAATTTATTATTGATTAATTTTCACAGAAATCCATTCAAAGTAAGAAAAATGTTCTTTTAGGCTGATCTAAATTTTGTGTTTATAATAATAGAGGGCGACAAGGTGTTAATTTCAACATTAATTCGTACTTCATCATTTAATAGATATCTAAATTAGTAGGCTGTACTTATTCGTTTGTTTTAAAATGCAAATAGTTAACGAGGAAAATGATTGATTAATTATATATTATATAAATATTTGTAGACCAGATAAACAATTAATTAAATGCCCTTTGCATATCATAAACCTTTATAGTTTATATAAAATAATTTTCTTATGTTAAGAAATAATTATCTAAATTGTTTGCAGATGGCGCTTAGATGTTGACTTTTACATTTATTTGTATTTATTATTATTATTCACATTTTCCGAAGGATACTGACAGAAGCTTTCACATAAAAGCAAAGCTTCATTTTCTCATCAAATGATGACATGTCGAAGTAAAAGATTATTAATTCGGTATTAGTTATAAATCGTGACGGCTACGAATAACATAGTGAACAATGCTGATTATGTTAGGTAAGTAGTTCTGTGTAAGCATTGCAATATTTTAAAATATGTTCAGTATAAACTGCAGTTCTCATTTTGTACAGAAGGAAAAGGTATTTTAGAATTCCGTACGGAAAATGCATAGGCGTACAGTCGCCAGTAACACCATGCTGATGTTACAAGATATAATTTTGATATGTATAAGCTTTTGCTTGTTGATTGAGATTGATATTTCTGTTCACGACTTTTGGATGTCATTTGTTTAATGTTAAAGATGAATAAAAGGAAGACAAACAAAGGTTTTGCACATCAACCGCTTTAATAATCCAGATCAGATTAAGGATGTTTGGGAGGTACAATCGGAGACAAGAGTACATTAAATTAGAAATTCGTGATTAATTAGGTTTTGCAGCATATCATGAGGTAAATAAATGCTATCCATACTAAAAAAAGTATACGGTTTCAGAGAAAATTTGGAATTTAACCAAAAACTTTGAATAAAACAAGAAATAACGAATAATGGAAAATTTATAACTGACTTTTGGCAGTGAAAATGCCTAGATTTCAACTTCGACACAAAAAAAATATTTAGTTTCAATCTTTATTAATAATGAGCGTAAAACTTTTTAATATGTTTAAATAATAATTAAAACTTTAAAATTGCATTTATTTCAGACAATTATAAATATTATCATTATATTATCATGTAAAAACGAGATTTTCAGCTAATTTTTCATTTTTTCCTCGATAACCATTTAGTGATTTTGAATAACCTTACGCTAAAGTGATTCTCCAGTGTTCAAGTTACTTATTATAAAAGTTTGAAATTTCTGGTAGCTTTTTTCTGTTAATAAAAATAAATTTAATCTGTTCGGTTAACGAATCTCCATCAAATGACGTGTAAAATCACAATTTTTTAAAATTACAATAACTTCAATGGTTTATTGAATCGATTTGTAATTTTTACAGGAGTTTTAGAATTGAATGAGGAACGTTCTTCCAAATTTGTATTTGTCTCGTGGCATTTTGACATACCTCCCAAACATCCTTAAGTATAGGTCAGGATTTATCAATGGTGAAGTCTTTATATGATAAGATTTTTACATTCCACTGTCACCCTATATCACTATTGCCCATGATTAAATGCTACTTTTTAGTTTTTTCACTATTAGGTTAGATAATGAATATTCTGTTCTCAATTATTTTTTAATAAATATAGCTTAAAAAAAAACAATGAAATTTAACCTTGCTGATCAGCTTTTGGTTTTATTTCTATGATTTCCATAATCAATGCAATTTAATTTTTACAGTAAAATATTTTATTTGAAGTAATCGTTATATTGACAAACGTACATTTACTACAATTCGCAAACATCCACATATATGTATATAAACAGGCGCTTGCGTGTAATCGTTTAAAAGAGCAGCAAAGAGATACGTTGTATATGGGAGATGGTTTTTAGGTCTCTCTACCGGGGGTGGTTGATGCTGCCATTTTCGCCCGAATGAACATTAACGATTCTCCGCCCTCAGTTCCGTGTCATGGACATCCAAAAGACTCGACGTTAAAAAGTTGAAGTTAGTTCCGACGAGCGGTTGTAAATCCAATCCGGCGGGGCTGCAAGTGAATATTTTTATGCGTGCGGTTGGCCTCCCTTATTTCCTGGGAAAGCAGAACGGAATAAAGATTAATAGAGTAGATAGAGAAGAATTTCCAGAGCTTATTATTGGCAGCGATCTCGCTCTTCGCGAACTTAAACGCCATTCGGTCTAATCTTGCATTATAAACTGTTTCGATATGTCTTCCGAACTATATTTGATTTTAAGTTTTGGCACGGGGCTTAAACAGGACTCAAAACTTTCACGAATGTTATGTGTATCAACGTATGAATAGATACATAAAGGAGGTATTCTATTCGATATCAGTCCCTCAAGTACGAAAGAAAGCTTTTAATAACATTTAAACTGTCTTCAGTGGATTGATTGTGAAACAAGATTATGAATATTAATAAATAAATGAATTTTTTGTCCATAGTTTCACTAATTTATTCATGTTGACATAGTCCATAACCAAGAGTAAGAAAAATGCCAAAATTAGA